GGCCGTGTGGGGGCCCAGGACTTTACCACCATGCCACCTGCTGGCCCCCGGGATCCAGCACTCATAACCACCAGGCTGTGGGACCAGCTGGAGAGAATCTTTTATTCAGATTACATTGGATTGATTGTACTCAACCCCCCCAACAACCCAAGGAGCAGGCAAGACAAACTGCGCTGCTACCATTCTCCGGAGATGGCACAAGGTGGGGGGCCGGGAGCTGGCCAAGACCATCCGCAGCAGAGCTAGGCTAGCCTTGGGCACGGCTCTCAGTGGAGATGGCACGGGGGTGTGGGGTGGCCAAGACCATCCGCAGCAGAGCTAGGCTAGCCTTGGGCACAGTTCTTAGTGGAGACGGCACGGGGGTGGAGGGTGGCCAAGACCATCCGCAGCAGAGCACGGCTCTTACACTGCAACAGGGGCTTCCGCATAATGAGCAGCGCTCACTAGGCAGCCAGAGCTGACGCCGCTGTGCCAGGACCCACCCACCAGCTTGCTCTCCAGAGACGGTCAGAGTTCCCCGTCCATGGGATTAATGATGATTCTGTAAAAGAATTATTTTATTTTGGGACCAGCAGTTAATGTAATGGCTATGTCGCTGGACTACCATGTAGTCAACCGTGGTTCAAGTCCTGGACCCGGTGGCTTAAACTCACGCTGGGCACGTGTGTGTGTGTGCCCAAGATCCCGAGAGGAGGATGGAGGAGAAGGGATTGTGGCGTGGTTATGCCCCACCCCGGGGGGGGGGTGATTTCTCACTTTCCGTCTCTCTCTTTCTGGCGAGCACACACGCCCTATAGCAAAAACTTCTCAAAAAAAAAAAATTATTCACTCATTTGAGTAGACGTGCGCACGTGCATACACACACATACACACACACACACACACACACACACACACACAGGGAAGAGAGAGACACAGAGAGGGGAAAAGTGAGAAAACAAGCCACCAGTTCTGGGACTTGAACCATGGTCAGCTATGTGGGAGTGTCCAGCGTTTTAACCATCATGCCACCTGCTGGCCCCTAATTTTATTATCATTTTTTAATTTGATGAAAGAGAGAAAGCAAGCCACCAGGTCTGGGACTCAAACTGTGGTCGACTGTGCGGGAGCCCAGCACTTTAACATCATGACACCTGCTGACCCTTACTGATTTTTCTAAAAATACATTTTTCTTGGCTGGCCCCACAGCCTGGTGGTTAAGGGAGCCATATCCCACATGGCCAACCGTTGTTTTGAGTCCCAGCTCTGGTGGCTTGAAAACACACCCCCTGCACGTGCACGTGTGCCCCAAGTCCCGGCAGGATGGAAGTGAAGGGGCTGCAGTGTGAGCGCGTCCCACTGGGGAGTGCCGTCCCCCTCTCTGTCTCTGACAAGCGCATGTGCCCTCTAGCAATTACATCGGTTCCTTGTTCAGGACAGTGCATGTGTGTGCATGAGAGATGAGCGCCCTCCGTGCGGTCTGGTCTTGCTACGCCTCCTCCCCCAGCCCTCCAGCCCGCTGGTTCCCGGCTCGCATGCTACCCCACGTCTTGGGCTCACTGCCCTAGAGATTTGAACCATGGCTGCCATGTGGGATCCAGCTTTATTTTCAACACTGATAATTAAAATAGCTGACTTGGGCGTCCACAGTGGTGACTTCAACCGCAACACTGAAGGGAGCAAGCTGTTTAAAGGTCTCAGAGGGCCGGTGCAGATCAAGGAGCAGTTTGCGGATTCTTCTGGAAACCATCCCACGCCTTAGGCCCTTCACCACAAGGTGTTCTTCTTGTAGTGATACTCAAAAGTCTTGGTAGGCATTTGAACTGGGCCTTCCTTTAAAAAATTTAGGTTTTCATGTATTATTATTATTCTCCAATTTGACCAGAGAGAGGGAGTGAGCAAGCAAGTCACCAGGTCTGGGACTCGAACTACAGCAGGCCACATGGGAGTCCAGCGACTTAACACCATGCCACCTACTGGCCCCCAAACTAGTCCTTTCACCTTGAGTCTTTTCCTCTGCACCTCTGATGACGCCAGCTCACGCACGGCTGCAGTGCGGCTTCCTGACCGACTTGCTCCTCAGTGGAAACCAATTGTTGTGTTGGGAGGCGCAGGCTGGCCGGAGCCCTGCAGCGCCTGCACCTGCGTCTTCCCCAGAGAGGATGCAGTTTTCCTTGAGCAGCATGCTACCAAGGCACCACGGAGCGCTCCGTTGGTGAGTCCTACGTCTGGAGTTAGCCGTGGTTGCTCACAGGTCATACTAAGAGCTGAGTGGCAGGCCAGCCAGTGCATTGTGGTCAAGGCAGCTGGGTCCCACATGGCTGGCTGTGTGGTTTTGCATCCCACACCGTGTTGTGACCGCACACACCAGGCACCTGTGCATGCACGCCCAGGATCCCCAAAGGAGAAATGGAGAAGGGACTGTGGCATGACCATCCCAATAGCAGGATGTTCCCACCTACTCATCGCTCCTCTCCCCTGATGAGCACATGCACCCAGGGGAGTGCTCTATCTCTGCACAATTTTTCCCCCCACAAAAAGTGGAGTATTAGCACAGTGTGGTGGTTAAGAACTGTGCTATTGGGACCAGCAGATGGCATAATGGTTACGACACCGGACTCCCATGTAGTCAACTATGGTTAGAGTCCTGGACCTGGTGGCTTAAAATTCACACCAGGCGCATGTGTGCATGTGTCCCCAAAATCTTCAAGCACCTGGGAGACTAGTGCCCTGGGACACATAGCCCCTCTCTACCCTGCATCCCACTGGGGACCACCAGGTGGCCTAATAGCGTTGGTGAGTGTGGTGAGGTCAGCAGAGGCAGGGAGATCAGGATTTTTGTTTGTTTAGGGAGACTTTTGCTATAGGGTGTGTGGACTCACTGGAGAGAGGGAGATGGAAAGCAAGAAAATACCCCCCAGGTGGGATGGCCATGCCACAATCCCCCCTTCCTTTCCACTTTCCTCTTGGGCATCCATGCACATGTGCCCAGTTTGAGTGTCAAACTGCCAGATCCATGAATCAAACTGCAGTTGACTACATGGGAGTCCAGCAACATAACCATTACGCCATCTGCTGGTCCTGAGACCAGGAGTTCAATGAAGACGCTGGATCTTGGGAACCAGCAGTTAGCGTAATGGCTATGTCGCTGGACTCCCATGTAGTTGACCATGGTTCACGTCCTGGACCCGCCAGGTGCGTGTGCATGTGTGCCCAAGATCCCGAGAGGAGAAGAAGAGGAGGGATTGCGGCGTGACCATCCCCCCGGGGGGTGATTTCTTGCTTTCTGTCTCTCTGTCTATCTGGTGAGCGCACGCACCCTATAGCAAAAACCTCTCCAAAAAAAAAGACGCTGGATCTTTCAACTTGGTCAGCTCCTGATGGGTTTAAAGGCTTGAAGTCGGTGGAACAGCTCCAGGGCCAGCAGCTGCAGAAGACAGCTCCCCAGCTGGGTGGGCTAGCCAGAGAAGGGCGCCCCGGGTAGCCTGGGCCTGTCGAAGGCCCTTCCCGCCCCTCTGGCCCGCCTCTCCCTGGTCGTCCTGCGGTTCTGACATGGGGCAGGCTGACACAGCCATCTTCCTACCCTTACACCCTGCCTGCAGCCCGTAAAAGCTAGGGTCTGTCTTGCTGCTCTTCCCCCCGCCTGTACTGTGTGAGGCCTGCAGCACAAGCCTGCATCGCTGTCTACATCGGCTTGTCACACATCTGTTACGGCATGGCACAACTGGAAGCCCACCTGGAATCGGCTCTAGAACTGACAGGGCTGACAGACCCAACGGCTGGAGGAAGGCATCCCTTCTTTATCGCCGGCCGGCTGGCCTCTGGCACCACTCGACAAGTCCTTCCAGTCAGTGCTCACGGGAGTCACCGTCTGCCAGCAGTCCTCACACTGCCCATAAAGCTGTGCACAGTGCCCAAGGCCATCTGTGTGGCTCCTCACCACCGCCCAAGGTGCCCCGCTCTGCTATCAGCAGTGGGGCGGAGATCGGATCTCAGGCCCAACTCCCGCCCGCCTCAGCGGCATTCTGGAACACTAAGGAGCTGGGGCTCCACGAGGGTCACAGCCTGGTGGGCTCAGGCTGAAGGCCCGGCCAGCGGGCAGGCACGAGGCCTCCGACGGATGGCTCCCGACTTGCCTTCTGCAGGTCTGGAATTGGAGTACAGGGTGGTGATAAACCCCCAGGAGTGATGAGAGTGCCCACGGCCAGACGCGGCTGGAGGCCAGAGGCAGCTGGAGGAACACCCGCTCTGGGTCTCTGAGAGGCGAGAGGCACACACTTCTGCAGCTTCGTTAGCCCACTGCCCACCCTGAGGTCACTCAACAGAGCCGTCCTGTTCTTTGCCCACCTGCTAGGGTCTGCATGTGTCCACCCCGCCCCCAAACCACACGGCTGTGATGGGATTCAAAGGGCAAAAGCCGTCTATGGCGGTAGGAGGTGGGTCTTGGGAAGGCCAGCATTAAGGCAACAGGGTAGGGCCCCATAACTGGACCCTGGTGGGCGTGCGAGGCGGGGCAGAGAGCCGCGCTAGTCTCTGCCCTCCCACGTGGCCCAGGAGCAGGTCCTCACCAGGTGTGGCCCTCGCGCCTCCAACTGCGAGCTGAGTAAGCCTCTCAACACCCCCCCCAGCTCCAGGCATCTCGTTAGACACAGAAGAGAACCCGAACACCCTCAGCAGGCTTCTCTCCGCAGCTACCTGTCCCACACGCCCTCAGCAGCTCCGAGCTTTGGGACTACAATCTCCGAGAGGCCAGCACGTTCCTTCTGTTGACTCTGGCTTCTCTGTCACCGTGAGCAAAGTCACGTCTCTAATGTCTCCTGCACATAACAATTACACACAGCAGCAGCTGAGTCCTCTGAAAGGGACAGTGTAACCCCACTCGGTTCATCACCTGCTCTGCCCTCTTAGACCAGTTAATTCAAAACAGTGTTCTCTTCCTTCCCACCTGAGCTTGGCCCCTCCCCACTTCCCGGGCTCTCGTACATGGTTACAGGAAAAATAAAGAACATGAATCACCCAAGTAAAGTGGGGTGAAGGTTTCTCTTCGGCCCGGAGGGTCTATACCAGAGGCAGGGCAAGCGGAGAGCAGTTGGCAGATGTTTCAGGCTGGCTTCCAGAATCGGTTCAACCTTCGCGCAGCCCAAGACCCCGATGCTGAGGCTGAGCGTGGCTGGGAGACGGCACTGCAGGCGGGGCAGGACCTCGGCCCACGGGCTGCCCGCGGCCTCGATGTCTCCTCCCAGGGGCAAGGCCAGCGCTGCTGTCCGTGTGACTGACACGAGTCATGGGAGACGGCACTCAGAGAGCCCACAGCCCTCAGCAGGAGGCAGGCACTGCAGCCCCACTCAGGGAGCAGCAGAGAGGAGGCGGGGACGCATACGGAGGTTTAATTTACATAGCAGCCACGTGGGGGGGGCAGTCAGAGCTGGGGGGGGTCTAACCTCCAGAGAACGCCCCCAGACCCCTTCCCCAGGGCCAGTCCTTGCAGACCCTCGGATGGAGCTCCCCAGGCTGTGCAGAGGACGCTCCCGGTGAGGAGAGGTTTGGGAATAAGGCTGTCCCCAGGTTGGGGGAAGTTCGTGGCCTGGAGTGCCTACACGGTGGCCCAGGAGTCTGAGAGAGCAGTCCACGTCCTGGGCACAGCCCTCAGCCTGGTGGCCCTAGAGGAAGCCCTCACGGCGGAACTGCTCCTGGAGGAGGGCACGGTACTGGTCGAACCCCCCCTCAACCCGGGTGACGCCGCCTCCTTCGCACACCCACAGCTCCCGGCACACGAGTCGGATGAAGCGCTCATCGTGGGACACCAGGATCACACCACCCTGAAAGACAGGAAGGCAGGACATGGCGCTCAGGACACCGTGGGCGGGCGCGGAGTGCGATAGGGCAGGCGGTGCTTAAGGCGCTCAGGACACCAATGCGGGAGGGCAGGCGGGCAGGCGTGGAGTGCAGGAGGGACAGGCGGTGCTAAGGCACACTCACCCTGAAGCTGTTGAGCGCGCGGCCCAGGGCCTCAATCGTCTCCATATCCAGGTGGTTTGTGGGCTCATCCAGGATGTAGAAGTTAGGACTAGGAGGCAGGACAGGACACGGGAGGGTGGGTGGTTTCAAGGTGGAGGTGGGAGGTGAACCTCTGACATGAGGTGAGAATCACGGTCCACCGGGCGACAGGGAATGGGAGTACCAAGAGCAGAGAACGAGGCCTTACCAGGGCATGGTCATCTGAGCGAAAGCCACCCGGCTCTTCTGGCCCCCAGACAAGCTGGCAACTGGGCGCATGGCCAGCTCTCCAGAGATGCCATAGCGGCCCAGCTGGTGCCGGTACTCCTCCTCTGGCCGCCCTGGAGAGGCCCCTCATTAGGTGGGTCCTTGGCCCAACCCCCTCCCCTCAGGCCTCGGGGCCCTTCCTCTCCAAAGGCCCACTTCTTGCATTGGCTGCTCCATGCCCACCCCACGGCAGGCCTGGCTGCAAGACTCAGCCCCAGCCTTCTTTCATCAAATCCTTAACACTGGGGCCAGCAGGTGGCATGGTGGTTTAAGGCACTGGACTCCTGCATGGCTGGCTACAGTTTGAGTCCTGGACCTGGCAGCTTGTTTTCTCTCTCCCCCTCTCTCATTCTGTCCCTCTCTAGTCAAATTAAAATAAACAAATAAATAAAATCATTCTTTAAAAAAAAATACCAAACACACCAGGAAACTTGCGTGCCAGCAGTTCCACGGCACTGACGTTCAAGTCCAGCTGCTCCACGTGGTGCTGGCTGAAATAGCCGATCTTCAGATTCCTGCAGGCAGAGATGGGGTGGGGGAGGGACCGTGAAGGAGCGCCGCAGCCTGACTGTGGGCCTGTGCACACTGCAGGGCTGGGCTCTACCTGTGAGCATGCCTGATGCCGCGGACAGGCGCCAGGTCCCCCATGAGCAGCTTCAGCATGGTAGACTTCCCAGCTCCGTTCTCTCCCACCTGTAAGAAGACACAGGAGGACATTAAACGGTGCCTGTGTGTGAAACATGGAAGGTGAAGAGGTGAGGGGTCCCAGTGACTCCAACAACCAAAAAAAAAGTTGTTTTTTAAATATGTATTTATTTCATTCCTTTTTTTTTTTTCTTTTCTTTTTTAATTGGGGGGGGGATAGAGAAAGGAAAAGCGAGAAAGCAAGCTGCCAGGTCCAGGACTCAAGCTGTGGTAGACTATGTGGGAATCCAGCACCCTTAACCACCATGCCAACTGCTGGCCCTCCCACAAAATGTTTCTAAGGAGCGCTGGAAAATGAAGTGAAGCTCCAGAGGAACTGATTCCTGAGTACCTGCTGAGTGCCGGGATCTACTTCTCCCAAATCAAATGAGGCGGATGTTGCCTCACCTTAAGGGTGCGGGACTGTGCGGTAACCAAGCTGGGAAACGGCAGGGTCTGGTCTGACCCCGAGGCGCACCCTCTCTCCCAGATGTCCCATGGTTTGAGAAAACTCAGAACTGACGCAAAGCCCAGCTCCAGCTCTAAGTATTCGTAAGATACAAGCCGGGCTTTCCATCCTGCCAGGGGCCCCATGAGGCCAGACGACAGGCAGTGCAAGTGCGACCCAGGCCCTGACCCCTGCTCACATGGGCTTCTTCCCTCCACAGCCTGAGGGCCAGGCCAACCCGCACCACATGCAGGGCAGAGCGACAGCTACCGTACCACACAGATGCGCGACTCCAGGTCCGCAGAGACGGAGAGCCGACTGAAGATGACATGCTTGGGGTCGTAGTAGAAATCCACCTCATCGAGCTGCAGAATCGGCGGCGAAAACTTCTCGAACCCATCAGGGAACCTATAGGAAGTGGAGGTGAGGAGCGACGGGCGCCAAAAACGAGAGCGCTCCCACCAGTCCCTGGGCCCTGACTCACTTCATCACAACTTCCGACTCCTTGTCCACGGGCTTCAGCTCTGGTCTGAAGGGAGGGATGGGATAGATTAGCCTTTAAAAGATAACTTTATCTGTTCTTGCACAAATAATGTATGGTCACAGAAAACTTAGAAAAATGCTGTACCCCCACCACCCAGGTAATATTATTCTTCTGGTTCATGATGTGCTGAGAAAAAGAGTTCTTTTCAGCAGCTTCTCACTCCCAGTTAACACAACCCGCAGTGTGTTTCCACATTTCAAAGAGTTTTGTTTGTTTTTGTTTGTAAAGATTTATTTATTGGGGCCGACAAGTGGCATGGTGGTTAAAGGTGCTGGACTCCCACATGGCCAACCACGGTTCAAGTCTTGGACCTGGTGGCTTGCTTTCTCACTTCCTCGTTCTCTGTCTCTCTCCGATCACACTGGAAAATAATAATGATAATAATAATAAAGTTAAATAAAATAATTCTTTAAAAAAAAAAAGATTTATTTTATTTGGGGGCTGGCAGGTGGTTAAAGGCGCTGGATTCTCGCATGGTTGACCACAGTTCAAGTCCTGGACCTGGTGGCTTGGTTTCTCACTTTCCCTCTCTCTCTGATCAAACTGGAAAATAATAATAATAAAGTTAAATAAAATAACTCTTAATTTTAAAAAATTTTACTTGACTTTATTTTAATTTGACCAGAGAGAAACAGAATGACAGAGAGAGAGAAAGCTAGGTCTGGGATTCGAACCATGGTCGGCCATGTGGAAGTCCAATGCCCTTAGCCACCATGCCACCTTCTAGCCCCTCCACATCTCAAAGTTGTAAGCTTCATGATTTTAAGTGTCTTTCCCCCAGCACGTCTAAGAAAGTCGCTTTAAGGTTAAAACCCTGTGGCCCAGCAGGTGGGGTGGTGGTTAAGTGTGCTAGATTCCCATGATTGACCACGTTCGAGTCCCAGACCTGGCGGCTTGCTTTCTCACACCCCCTCCATCTCTCTCTCTATCCCTCTCTAGTCAAATTTAAAGAAATAGGGGACCAGCAGGTGGTGTGGTGGTTAAGGCACTGGACATTCCCATATGGCCAACCATGGTTCAAGTCCTGGACCTGGTAGCTGGCTTTCTCACTTTCTCTCTCTCTCTGTTTCTCTGGTCAAAATAAAATAAATGAATAAAAAAATAAAAATAATTTTAAAAATTTAAATTAATTAAAATAAAAATAACTCTTAAAAAAAGATGAAAACCCTAATGCTCAATGTGATGGCCATTAAGGAGATGCGGATCAGAACCACAGTGCGTTATCACGTCACTCCTGCAAGGACGGTTAAAACTACACAGGCAGTTAGTGTCCAGTGTTGCGGATGTGGAGAAAGACTCGTGTACTGCTGGTGAGAATATAAAATGGTATAGCTGCTTTGGAAAACAGGCTAGCAGGGGTCCGCAGGTGGCGTGTGGTTGAGGCAGTGGGCTCCCACGTGGCTGACTGTGATCTGAGTCCTGGACCTGGCAGCTTGCTTTCTCACCCTCTCTCTAATGTGTGTGTGTGTGCCTTATCGCAAATTAAAAGATCAAGATACATTTTAAAAATTAAATACTAAAAAAAACAAAAGGCAAAGAAACTGGTTTAGCAGTTCCTCAAACACAGATGACAGAAAGCACCATCAGTCTGCCTGGGGTCCAGGGTGTTTCTGGGTGTTGGGCAAGAAGAACGGACAGGCGTGTGGCAGGAGACACTCAGGCATGCTGGGTGTGCGCGTTATTTGGCCTGCTGCGAAGTTTTGCCTGTATACACATTACAGATACCAAAATGCTTCAAATTACATAAATTAAAAATCGGTATTCATAAGTATGTTCATTACACCTGAATAGCCGAATTTAAAAAATGTTTTATTTATTATTTTTTAATTCACTATAGAGCATGTGTGAGGGAGAGAGGAAGCGAGAAAGCCAGCCACCAGATAACCACGGCCGGCCATGTGCGAGGTCCAGTGCCTGAACCATCACACACCTGCTGGTCCCTCAATAGATATTTTTAAAAGAAAAAATGATAAACATGGAATTACCATGTAACCAGCAATTCCACCCCTTAGTGGACTGCAAACTTATGTCCACACAAATGTCCACAGCTGCGCTGTTCATAAGAGCCAGAAGACAAACGCCCACCTAATGAATTAATAAACGAGATGCAGTGTGTCCCCACAACGGAGTACTCTCCAGCTATAAAAAGAAGTGAGGCTGGGAACCAGCAGTTAGCATAATGGCTATGTCGCTGGACTCCCACGTAGTCGACCGTGGTTCGCGTCCCGGACCCGGTGGCTTAAAACTCACGCCGGGCACGTGTGCCCGTGTGCGCGTGCGCACAAGATCCTGAGAGGAGAATGGAGGAGAAGGGATTGCGGTGCGGCCATCCCCCCCGGGGGGTGATTTCTCGCTTTCTGTCTCTATATCTCTCTCTGTCTGTCTGGCAAGCGCACATGCCCTATAGCGAAAAAAAAAAAAAAAGCCTCTCAAAAAAAAAAAAAAGTGAGGCATCAACATGCGCCGAGACACCGATGAGCCTTGAAACATCATGCCGGGTGAGAGAAGCCTGACACGGGAGGCCACACGCTGCATGAATTAGCAGACAGACAGAAAGCGGAGCACAGGCTGCCCAAGCCCATGGAGGAACCCTGCAGGAGCAGTGCAGAATGCTCGGCTTTCCTGCAGGGGCAGGCGCTCCAGCAAAGGGGGGACCAAGACTGGAGGGCAAGGTGTGGCCTACAGAACGAGGGCTGAGGGAGGACAGGAGTCGGGGTCTGGCCACGGACGTGTACTCACAGCTTCTCCAGCATCTTGAGCTTACTCTGCACCTGAGAGGCCCTGTTGGCGTTGTAGCGAAACCGGTCAATGAAAACCTGCGGGGGAGGAGCACAGCACGGGTCAAGCTCCTTCCCTCCCCCAGCTCCGATGCCCGCCGTGGGAGGGAGATGCCCGCCCTGCCCACCCACCTGGATGTGCTGGCGATACTGCTGCTGTGCCTCGTATTCGCGCTGCTGGTTGAGCAGCCGCTCCTGCTTGCTCTTGATGAAGGTCTCGAAGTCGCCCCGGTAACCATCCAGCCGCTGGCTATGCAGGTGGATGATGTCTGTGGCGATGGCGTTCAGGAAGTTGCGGTCGTGGGAGACGACTAGGATTGTGGAGGGCCACGTCTGAGGGGTCACAGGACAGCAGGCCCGGTTTGGGGGGCAGACAGTGCCTAGGCCCTCAGGTGTCTTGGGGGCAGACCCTCCCGCAGCCCACTCCAGCACCTGTAGGCACTCACCTGCAGGTAATTCTCCAGCCACAGGATGGCTCTCACGTCCAGCATGTTTGTGGGTTCTGGAGGAGTGGGGTACACACGCATGGGATTGAAAGGCTGGAGAACTAGGAACTTGAATGCCGCCACCCTCCCATCCCCAAATCAAGGTGCTCCATTTCAAACTCACCATCTAACAGCAAAAGATCTGGTCTACGAAAAGAATAGAGGTTTTAGGTCAGTGACTTGCTGCCGTCTCCCAGGAGCCAAAGCCCACCCTCCACAGGGCTCCTACATTGCCCAGGACACTCACCTAGCAAACAGGGCCCGGGCCAGGGCTAGCCTCATCCTCCAGCCACCCGAGAATTCCCTAAAAAAAGATAGAGCCACGTTAGGGCCAGTTGTTCCAGAGCAGGCAGAGGTGGAGCCAACAGTGCTCAGAACCAAGGGTGCCCAGGCTACTTACCGGGTAGGCTGCTGCTGCATTTTAGGGGTAAAGCCAAGCCCAGCAAGAATGACTGATGCCCTAGGAGCAAAGAAATTAAAGAACCCAGCTGGAACAGAACAGAGAGACAAGGGGAAATACGGAGGAGGGAGGAGGAATTTTAAGTACCTGGCAGGTGCCTTGTCAGCCTCGATTTCCTCCAATTTGGCATAAATTTCTGCCAGCTGTGTAGCTTCTGAGCCCTCTGCCCTGGGAGGGAGGAGAAAGAGCAAACAGCTTGAGTAGGGGCAGTCTAGCTAGATGCCCTCCACCCTACACAGTTTGAAAGTGGGCCACTAGGGACCAGCAGATGGCATAATGGTTACATCACTGGACTCCCATGTAGTCGACTGTGGTTCAAGTCTCAGATCTGGAGGCTTAAAACTCATGTTGGATGCGCGCGCGTGTGTGTGTGTGTGCCCAAGATCCCCAGGAGGATGGAGGAGAAGGGGTTGTGGTGTGGCCACCTCCCCTGGGAGGTGATTTCTCGCATTCTGGCTCTCTGGGAAGCATACATACTGAAAAGCAAAAATCTCTCTGAAAAAAGAAAGTGGGCCACTAGCTGCCTTATTGCTGGGACAAGGACAGAAGGATGGCGGGCTTTACCAGGGTAGTGAGGGCAATGCACAGTGTGGAGGGGACTAGGGCTTTAGGGTCCCACCGTGCCACGTTCTAGGTCTGGATGACTGGAATGGGCATGCGACCCAGGGCTCGTGAGCAGGCGGGCAGCCTGAGCCGGCTGCTGCTGGGGTTTCCCTAGCCTGGAGCCCTCACCTGCCAGCAGCAATCTGGGCGCTGAGCTCTCGCTCCCGCCGCAGCAAGTCCTCTCGCACGCTGTCGCTCTCCAGCACGCTCTGCAGGGCAGGGGTGTCGTCTCCGGCGACCTCCTGCTCTACGTGCAGCAGGGAAATGTGGGCTGGGACCCGCAGGCTCCGGGTGGCCAGCATCTTCAGCAAGGTCGTCTTCCCCAGCCCATTCCGTCCCACCAGCCCGTAGCGGCGGCCCCACGCCAGGTTCACATCCGCTCCAGCCAGCAGTACCCTGTGAGTGGTCGAAAGGAGACCCGGGCTGCTCTAGAAAATGGTGCAGAGCAAGTTTCACGACAGAAACCCAACGCTGTTTGGAGGCCTATTTCACCTCTCCAAACCCTCCTCAGCTGGAGAGAGGATGAAGCCTCTCCCACTGCCACTCGCTCACCTGTCACCAAAGGACACATCGAAGTTCTCGATGCGCACGTCGTAGGATTTGTTCTTGCCGGATGACTCCAGCCGGCTCTCCTTCCTGCTGCCTGCCTGGCTGGCTGACGCCTCCTCCAAGACCCTTTTAACGGGGAGAAACAGATAGCTCTGAGCGCTCCCATCGGCTCCCACCCCAGCAGACTGCTTCGCTGTCTCCGAGCCCTTCCTCCCAAACTCACAGCGGGCTGCTGGCCTTGAGCGTGTCCCTCTCGGAGCGCTTCTCTTGCTTTGCCTTCAGGCGAGCCTCAGCCTTCTCTAGCTTCTTTGCGTTCACGGTCTAAGGGTCAGACACACCCACCATCACCCTGCATGTAGGCTCAGAAAGGACCCCCAGAGAACACCTCTCAAGGAAACTCCCTCAACCACCCGTGATGAACAGGCTCAAAGACTTGGGGAAAGACAAAGCGATCCCCCAAAGAGTCGCCAACGTTTCCAAAGGCAACTCCTACTCCCAGCACAGACGCAGCCCCTCCTGCCGCCGCCTCCTCACCGACGACTGTTCCCTCTTGAGCAGTCCAGGAAGTGTAGTGCCACAGTCTGCGAGTGAGAAGGAAAGCAGTCACCTTCTCCCTGAAGGTAGGGAGCCCTAGCAGTCGGAGTGACCGTATGAACCAGTCCGGGACAAGGACGTTTTCTAGAAAGCCTTACAACCCTTACACTCTCCTCCCACTCAACAAATCTCAGAAGGATACAGAGACAGGGGAGATAAGCAACAAGGTAACGGAGTTGGTTAGTGGGTTGCAAAATCAGGGACTGAAATAAAGTCTGTCCAGATCAAGACCCAAACACCTCCTACCATTTCTGAGTTCAGAAACCCTTCCAGCCCTACACTCCCTTTCCTGTAGGCTCGCTTTGTTCTCTATAAGGACTCAACTACCACGCCGACCTCTGGCAAAGGAGTTCTGAGCTGCCTGGGGCAGGTGACTGCGGGGTGGAGGCTGCCGGCGGGGAAGGGCCGTGTGCCCCCAGTTCAATGCCCCCTCCCTCTCACCGTAGTTCTCCGTTATCTTTGACAACTGTATGGGGGCGTCCAGTAGCACCTGGCTGTTTCCCTGGCTCTGTGGCTCAGCCCTAGGTGGGTAGGGACAGAAGACGCAAGGTTAGGAACGGCGGGGAAGCTCCCGGGCCCCCATCTCTCGTCTCCGGCCGCTCGCGCTCCCTCGCCCCCTCGCCCGCGTTCCCTGGCACGTACAGGCGCAAAGTGTTGTACATGCGCTGGCACACCGCCCTGATGCCCGCGTCATCCTTGCTGTCCCCGGACACCTCTTGCAGTAGCTCCCCCACGGCTTCCACCAGGTCGTCCACAGACTCGAAGTCCGCGCTGCCGCTGTGCAAGACGCCTGGGGCGGGCGTGGCAGGACGGGAAGATACCGGGCAGGGGGCCATACGAGCATTTCAGTCCCCGAACCGCGGCCCCAGACCCAAGCGGCCCTCGGGACGAGAGGTCATGCAGACTAGAGGCCGGCAGGGTCCCCGGCACGGCCCTCCCTCAGGCTCTCCCCGCGGCCTGCTCTTCGGCCCCTCCAACCCGCTGATCCGCTTCGGCTCACCCGTCACGTAGTCGAAGACCTGTCCATCAATTTCAGGGAACTCGCTCCGCAGGATTTCGGCGCAAGTCGCCATGTTCCAGTCGGGATCCCGTCCGCGCAGTCGCCTCGAGACCACGGCCCAGGCCCGCCCCCTGCCCTTCCCCCCGAGAGCTCGCTCCTCTTTCCTAAGCGCATGCGTGGCGGTGACGTCAGAAAGCGGAGTGCGCGGAACCCAGTGGGCGGGGTGAACAGGGCCGAGGGAGAGGTGCGCATGCGCGGCTGAGTGTGCTGGGCTGCGCTCTCCGCGCCTGCGCAGCACCTTTTCCACGGAAAGATAAGCCACGTGCGGTTCCCGCGGCTTTCGGGGAGGTAGCGCGACAGGAGGCGAGGGCTGGGTAGACCGTGGTTTATCTGGGCGCGAGCTACCCGTAGCCTGGCGATAAGAGAAGGCAGTCGATAAAAGCACATGGCTCCCTATATCTTACGCGCCCTCGCGCGCCTGCCGCAGCGCGTTCAGCCCTGCCCGTTTGGGACCCGCAGAGAGCTTCGCTGATTCAGGGTCCGGCGCTCTTAGAAGCCCCTGCCGAGTTTGTGTCGGTGCCCGCCGGTTCGCAGTTCCTCCCGGCTGGGCTCCGCCTGCCCACTGCAGCCCCGCCGG